GTTTCTGTAGTAACTACTCACACAGGGACTCGTATAGAGGACACTGTGCCTAATCTAAAGATAAAGAACATGCTGCTAGTTAACAAAGAAAAATGTATAATCATTTATGTGGTGAAGCTTTCTGTAAGGAGATGTTTATTTAACATTTATGTTCAGTAAAATAGTCTCCAGCATCAGTGTTTTGGAACAGTCAGTAAGTTTTCGGACATGAGAAAGGCTTCAGGACAGAGGACTAGACTTTGTTTTTTTTGGAAACATGACAAGCTGCATTTTTTGTCTTATTAACTTCAAGTCAGAGAAGAAAAACTGTCTATAGCTGCTATAATGTAAGTGCTAATGGGAACCAACTTGTCTCAGACTTTCCAAAACAATACATGTAACTATAAATGTCTGACATGTCATTCTTTAACAAACAAAATTGTAACTGTTGGAAAATTGTATTTTATTTCTCACTTGGTGCTGAGCCTTGTGATTCCTATGACTAGTCAAAGATTTACGTGTGCTGGTGTAATGCTGGGTTAATGACTAAATGCGAATCGAGACGTTTCCAGCTTCCGAGTAGTAAAAATCCACTTAAATGGCTCCCGTAATTCCTGTTCAGAAAGTCATACCTTCTCAAGAGCTCTGAGTTGGAATTCCCTGCTTTCAACATTGCAGTGCTAAGTGCAAAGTCTGTTTTAGCTATTTTTTACGCAGACCTGGATAATAGGTTCGTAACTTAAAAAAAAAAAGTTAAAGTGTTTTGTGAGTGATGTCTTTTGATCAGAAGGGTAGAATTCTCACCCATGAACCAGTGATACACACGCTTACTGATCTCACAGACAAGTTTGAGTGTTACGGTTTGACATGTTTGCGGTATGATAACCTAGTCTAAAAATATGTAGTGCTTTTTGGCAAAAAAATAGACCAAAGTCTACATACAATTTACATTAACTTTTTAATTAAATGACACGGCTCCACAGGTGGTCATCCTGCCTCACAGCTCCAGGGATCCATTTTGTGTCTGTGTAGAGTGTTACATATTCTCCCTGTGTCCGTGTGGGTTTTTCCTGGTTCTCTAGTTTCCTCCCACAATCCACAATCATGATTGGTTACTCTGATTTGCCCCTGGGCGTGAAGGGGTTTGTGAATGTGCATTTGCATGATGCCATTTGGTACACCGGAGTCCCATCCAGGGTGTATTCCTGCTTTGCACTTAAGAGTTCCCAGGATTGGCTCTGGATCCACTGTGATCCTGACCAGGATAAAGTGCTTTCCAACGAAGCCTCCCCTTTAAATCCTTAATATGACATGTTTATATGTTACACACATTTAAACGCTACTCAGGATCTTTTTACTTCCACATAGAAGCCAAACAAGTTGAACAGAGTGTAGGTGGTGACCTTTTATGCAGTGAAGGATGGTGCCTGATGACTCTGCAGAACTGGTACTCGGGGCTGCCAGCCAGGCTCTGTTTTGAACACTTAATATCACCTGTTTATATGTTACCTTTATTAGCTTCAGCAGTGATTTCAGAGGTGTAATTACACCATCACCTTAACAAGGCTCGAGCTGTTCCACTTCCCCCAGGTCACAAATGAACCAGTGACACACACACACTTACTGATCTCGCAAACAAGTAGGAGTGTTACGGTTTGACATGTGGAATGATATTGCGGTATGATAACCTAGTCTAAAAATATGCAGTGCTTTTTGGTGTTATAAATAGATCGGTGTTTGGTTTAGTTCTGATTAAAAGATGTGTATGATAAAGTT